GCATTAGATTTACAAGACTGCCCTAAGCTGGTAGGAAAATTATCGAAATGCATTCCTTCTCTTAAAAAGTTGAAGATTTTCAGATGTCCAGAATTTCAATTGATTTTGCTACCTTTTTTGTGCAGGCATGGATGCATTAAAAAATATGACGCTTGAGTTTGACGAAGACAATTCTTCTTCAACTTTTCCGGCATTGGATTTACAAGACTACCCTGAGCTGGTCGGAAAATTACCGAAATGCATTCCTTCTCTTAAAAAGTTGAAGATTTCCAGATGTCCAGAATTGAGGTACTCCCCACTTAGTCTTCCATCACTTGAAGAATTGCATATGGAAGAATGTAGTGAGGTAGTATTGAGGAGTATGGTCAATCTCACCTCCCTCAAAACATTGAGTATAAAAAAAATTTCTAAACTGACTTGCCTACCCAAGAGTTTTGTCAAGTCCATGATAGCTCTCAAGGATATAGAGATTGTGTCTTGCACTGAACTTACTTGTTTGTGGGAAGAGGGAGTCAATATCCTAAACCTTGCCTGTGTTGAGAAAATAAGAGTCAAGGAGTGTGAAGCGCTAGATTTCTTGCCTGGTGAGATAATGATGTTGCTGCGACTTGAAGAATTATCTATTAGGAGATGTCCTACTCTTCGAATGTTTCCAAGAGGCAAGTCACCCACCACGCTTAAAGTCTTGAAAATTTGGGAATGTGAAATGCTAGAGTCTCTACCAGAAGGAATATTGATGAATAATGGTCATGCATATCAATCGTCGCAACTTGAAGAATTAGAGATTGCCAACTGTCCTTGTCTGAATTCTTTTCCTAGTGGTCAGTTACCCAATTCTTTTAAAAGGCTTTATATCAATAATTGCAAGCAACTAGAGTCTCCGCCTCAAAGGATGCTGCAGTATTGTACGGAACTTAAAGAGATAAGTATTTATAGGGGTGATATGAAAAGTTTTTGTTTTGAGGACATGCGCGGGCCCACTTCTTTATCGATAGGCAATTGTGATGGTTTGGAGTCGTTTTCCCTGTCCATCTCCAATCTTATAGAGTTACGCATATCAAATTGCAGGAATCTCAAGTCTTTGCCTAAAAAGATGCACGACCTCACGTCTCTCAATACATTATATATAAGCAATTGTCCAGGGATCAAGTGCATTTTAGACAATGGGTTGCCTCCGAACTTAACACAGCTTGAAATTTATGGGTGTGTAGGAATCGAGTCCATTCCAGGCGGTGGTTTGTTTCCAAACCTAACAGATCTTGTAATTGTCGACTGTTCAAGGATTGAGTCCATTCCAGACCGTGGTTTTCCCCCAAACCTTAGAAGTCTTACAATTGATTGCAAGAATCTAAAGAAGCCGATGCAGGAATGGGGCCTTAGCAGCCTCACCTCTCTTCTATCCTTGGAGATTTATTGGATATGTCCTGATCCTGATGTGCTTCCCACTTCTCTAATCAGTCTTGTGGTAGGTAAGGTTGAAAATATGAAATCCATAGCTAGAGGGCTCCTTCAAAACCTCAACTCTCTTCAAGATTTAACAATTGTGGATTGCCCAAAGCTGCATTCGTTGCCAAAGGAAGGCCTGCCTCCCTTGCTTGAACAACTCTGGATTGGAAACTGCCCGTTGCTAAAACGACGATGCTTGGAGGAGAAAGGAGACTATTGGCCCCTCATAGCTCGCATCCCCTGCATTGAAGTTTGGGTACTACTTAGCTATTCTCAAATTTTCAAATAAATTTGTCTTTTGAGAATTAATTTAGGAATATATTTTCCCTTACTATATCTTGGAACTTAATCTTTTCTAACTAAATCTTATTCTTTCCTTTTAGGATGATGAAAACCACACAAGTTCAGAGACAAAACAAAAACTTTGTTTATGGTAATACTTAAAAAATACTCCATCATAATCATTCACAGTTTTTTTTTTTTTCTGTAATTGAATTTTTTTTCACCCTCTTGTGAGAAACTTGGAAAATGGCTAATCTAATTAATCTCTTC